ATTTTTTTCAGCTTGGTTGCTGTGGTGTGTCCAAGCGACGACGGCTTGCCAGCTGGATTTCCCTTTTTTTTTTCTCCCCAACTTGATGGGATTGGACAAAGCTGGCACCACTGCTTGAAAGAGCAGGCCTCCCTCTATTGGATCGGCCAGTTTCATTGATATGGGAGTTTTGGTTGATTTTGGGCGAATTTTTATCCTTGTCTGTGCATCGGCGTCCCTGGAGCTCTCAGCATGCAATTTGCCTTTCAAAATTTTTTTCTTCCAAACCTGCCCAGCTGGGCTGATATTGATTGCTTCACTGGATAGAGCCCAGCTTGCTCCACGTGACCTGAAAGTTTCACTTGCATCCGAGTTTCTTGGGGATTTGGGCAATATTTGCCACTTTGGTGTCTCTGACCGATGACTCACTTTCTGCAATTTTTTTCTCCTCAACTGAGTGCGGTAGGAAAACCGCGATTTCGCCACTGGATAGAGCTTGCTTTGCACCACTTACTCTATGAGCTGTTTTTTTATTCGAGTTCCTGCTGAGTTTGGGCGATTTTTTTCACTTGGGCGTGCTTTGGTGTGTCCTGCAAACTGCGTCGGTTTTCAAACCCGATTTCAGTTACTTTTTTCTCCAAAACTGCCTAAGGTGGAACGTCGCCAGTTGAACCTCTGGATAGAGCGCAGTTCGCTCTACTGGCACCAAAAGTTTCACTTTGGTTGGAGCTTTCGTTGGGTTTCGGCGAATTTTTGATCTTAGGTGTGCAACAGTGCCTCTAAACGTCGACTGTTTGCAAACTCACTTTTAACAATTTTTTTTGCCAAAATTAAGTAAGGTAGAAACATTCTGATTGCACTCCTGCATASAGGGGATTCTCCTCTTTTGTGGCTCAARGATTCARTTCCATGCGAGTTTTGGTTCAGTTTGGGCGAGTTGTTTATCTTAGGTGTGCAACGGTGCCTCTAAMCGTCGATTGTTTGTAAACTCACTTTTAACAATTTTTTTTCGCCAAAAYTAAATGAGGTGGCAACATTCTGATTTCACCCCTGGATTGAGCGGGATCTTCTCTATTGTGGCTCAAAGTGTTAATTCCGTCAGAGCTTTAGTTCAGGTTGCCCGAATTTTTAATCTTTGGTGTGCAACAGTGCTTTTAAACGTCGACTGTTTCCAAACTCACTTTTAACGATTATTTTCGTCCAAATTAGGTGAGGTGGCAACATTCCGATTTCACCCCTGGATAGAGCGGACTCTTCTCTACTGTGGCCCAAAATGTCAATTCTATCAGAGTTTTGGTTCAGTTTGCCTGAATTTTTAATCTTTGGTGTGCAACAGTGCCTCTAAACGTCGACTATTTGCAAACTCACTTTTAACAAATGTTTTCGCAAAAATTAAGTGAGGCGGCAACATAGTGATTT